CTGCCACTGGGCTGCGGTACCCCAAGCTGTACCAACATCAGCCTCGGTGCACCCAGGAGGGACCCAGGGCCATCACCGTGTGGACATTCCATGGTCCTCCCACCACCCCGGCATCACCCGTGGCCGGAGCCGCATCGGGGCAGGGTGGCCAGCAGGATGGGGTGCTGCTCCCCTTTGGAGAGGCAGGAGGGCTGCAGGGGCGGCACGAAGCATCCATTAAGGGATGTTAAGGACCCTTCTCCCTGAGCAGGAGATGCTGTCCCCTGCCCTGCCAACTCGTCTCAGGCAGCCATCTGCAGCCACTGCCAGTGAGACCTGGAGGGTGGCCAGCGGGGCTGGGGGCCATGGCACCCCCCTGCTCCCAGCAAGAGCCCGCAGGGCCTGGGCACCACTCAGCCTTTCTGTTTCATGGAAAATCCTGACAGTTCAGCGTTTCCTTTGTCCCAGTTCGGAACAAAGAGTCGAAACTTCAACGTTTAGCAGAGTCACCTCTGAAATACTTTGTTTTGGAAAATACTGAAATGCTGTTTTGAAATGTTTCACTTTGACTGTGTCACTCCGGCTGCTGTGGCATGAGCTCTGTTGCTTTCTGAGAGGAGAAAGCCTACAACGAGCTCTGTTGCTTTCTGAGAGGGGAAAGCCTAGGATATTTTCATATGCTGACAAGATCGATACATGCCTATGAATTATTTTGGTCTTGTCATACCAACTTTTCCCAGCACCTTTTTCCCGTTGCTCTCCCCAAGCAGAGACCCACATCAGCTCCAGTTCCAGCTGTTGGGCCCAAAAGCCATCCATGAGGCAAGGCTGCTCTCTGCAGGGCTTTACCCTCTCCGATTGGATAGAGGCCCCGGCATCTCCCCACACCGCAGCAGGGCAGCCCGCCGGCCCCCTCCAAGGGTGGCAGTGGGCAGCTGCCTGCCTGCCTGCACCCCAGCAGGGCAGCATGTGCCCTGGAGCCTACGGGCTCATGGTGGGGTGCAACCACGGGGTCCGGCACAGATCGGAGCTGCCAGGGAAGGAGGAGGATGGAGCAGGGCAGTGAGCGGGGGGTCTGCTAAGGGCCAAGTGCAGCACTGGCCGTGCTGCCAGCGTGGGGCAGGCTGGACTGCGGGGGAGAGATGGTATCTTGCAGACTTTCCCACGCCTCGCACAAGTTCTCCGGGCGAGCGCACGCAGGCAGGTGATGCTCGGTGGCTGCTGGGGTATTGCATAAATAGAGAGCAGGCTGCTGTGCCTGCCCCAGGCTACAGGACTGTGCAGATAAGCCCCCAGCATGCGTGTCCTACACGGCACGGGTGCTGCTGGCCTCGCAGGCGGGCAGGGAACCTGATGCTCACTGGGAACCTGGTCCTACACAGAAAGATCCCCTCTCATTGTGCCTCAGCTTCTACTTCTAGCAGTGAAATATGGACATCCAGCATCACAGGAACAGCCCCGTGCTTAGGGCTGGTGCCCCAAGCTTAACCAGGCTGCTCCTTGCTGTCAGGCTTCACCCAAATGCTGCAGCACAGCTCCTCAGCCCAGCACGGGACTAGGAGGGGTCAACATTTCCTTTGGGAATTGCCATCAGAGGCCACCACAACTTGGAACGTGCTATTCTGTTGCCAAAGCATGCAGCGATCCTCCATGCCCAGAACTGCAGCAGCCACCACACAGCAGGAAAGACATGGTCCTGAAGCTGATCGGGCCCATTAATGAGGCAAGGAAGGCTGCAACGGTCTGGCACGCCGGCTGGTGAGCAAGCATGGAGAGGAACTGAGCTGAGACAGTTTCCATCCACAAGTGGGGCTGTAACCACAAGACACCTTCCCTGCAGCTGCACTTCCAGCCAGCCCCGAGGCAGCTCTGCTGGGGGTGCTGCTGCTCCCCAGCCACCACCTGGGGCACC